AAACACTCAACGCAATTTGGTGTGGCAGAGGTTGGCTTTGTATCCAAAACATTGGCTTGGCATTTCTCACTTGAGGGCTTTTAAAAAAATCATTTTAATGTATTTTATTGTATCAAGCATATTTGTACATATGTTGCCATTATCATTTTCAAAATATTTTCTTTCTACTGGAGCTGTTGGTATCAGCTCCTTTTCCTCCTTCCCTCCCTCATGAACCCTTGATAATTTATAAATTATTATTTTTTTCACTTGAGGGATTCTTGTCTGTGACTTGATTAGCCAAGAGAAAAAGAAAAACCTCAGCTTGGGGTATATGTGGGACAATGCTAATGTGAAAGTCAAGACAGCCAGCAAAATGTCTCATTTGCCAAATGGAAAAAGGACTAAAATGGCATTGAAAGATACTTTGTACCATACCTAGTACTTAATCTTGGTGATCTAACAGTCTCAGTTATTTATAATCATTCCCGAAATGTTCCTTTTGCTTTGAAATGGATATAAAGGCCTGATTCAACACGTACGAGGGGTTACCCCCCCACCCCCCAAACCAGATGTGATGTGAGGGCAATGGAGCATTTGGAGTTTATTCCACCAGGTCAGACTGTTAATCAAGCTTTTAACTTAGAGGTTCTATAAAGATTGTATGGCAGTGTGCGACATGAAAAAAAAAGGCCTGATTTGTGATAGACGGGAGACTGGTTTTGCCACCATGACAATGCACCTGCTCATGCAGCCATCTCAGGACGTCAGTTTTGGGCAAAAACCAGCTTGCCCCATGCACCTTATTCACATGACCTTGCTCTACAGGACTTCTTTTTGTTTCCGTGAATGAAGAGGGGCATGAAAGGACAGCGATTTGAGGACTCGGAAGAGGTGAAGAAAGAAACAAGGGAGATGTTGTCGGTCATCCAAACATATGAGTTTGAAAAATGTTTCCAAGACTGGAATCACAGATTTGACAAAGTATTAAGTGTCATGGAGAGTACTTTGAAGGTGATAAGGTTGTTTCATAAAAAAAATTAAATACATAACTTTGGAGGAAAAAAATCCGCTTTTTTCTGGGTACCCCCTCATATAACTTCATTACCAGCAGCTGCTGCACACGCTCTGCAGTGGGCCAATCTCACTGCATCCTGACCTCATGAGGGGAGGGGACTGAAAGGGATCATTTTTTATGTTGCAGGTGTTTTATAACCAATGTTTTCATGTTAGTAAAGGCGGGAAGAGCGTTCTGAGGCAGTATACTGAGAGGGAGAATAATCCTTTTCCTCTGCATTTTAAAATCTGACTTCTAATGCAGAGTTGCTAGGCACCGATGGAAGTGATTTTTTTTTTTAATGCCGCTAGACAGCGCATCTAACTTAAGCTTCACCATTTGTAAATAGTGTAGTACATCCTCTGTCCTTGGAGGAAATCTATCAAGATTACTCTTTTGGATTCCCCCAAATAAACAATCACCACAACTTCCGAGCTACTTGCTCTGCCTTGAATTTAACTGGCCCAGAAGATGCCCCTGCAAGGCACAGTTTTAGCGGAGCCTGGTTTATGAAGGCTCCCTACTGAGACTAAGAAAAGGCTCCTTACTGACTGCATCTGCAGCCAGCCACCGATCACGGGACGTGATGAAGCACGTTTTGTTTGGAATAAGCCTGTGCCTGTGTGAGCTGGCATTCTCCGCAGCACGACTTTTTGACTTACCTTCTTATAGGGTGTAGCACTGCCAAGATTATTATCTCAGCCAGATCACGGGGATTGCTACCTAAGCATGCTGTCTCTTAGCAGGGCTGTGAAGTAGGCTCATCGGTCTTTGACCCACTAGCACCTGTATTCTCCCCAGCTCATCAGTGGTACTGGCACATCATTGACATATCAGACAATTCAATAGTTCAACCCTTCAGTCATATCAAGGGGCACTGGACAGGTGGCAAAGGAAGTACTTCTGGGTCCCATCCAAGGGACAGCCAGAGGTTAGGCCGCTTGCCCACATGTGTTACCCTAGCCTCACCTGTGAAAGGTCAGAGCCTCAACTTTGGTTACCATACCTTTCATCATCCGGCCACCAACTGGGTGGTAACAGAACTAGACAGGGATCTCTGAGAAGCAAGGGATGGCAAAAGAAAAGGAGAGAGAGAGATTGCATGAGGACACGCTCTGATGTCTACCAGGAGAGCGGAGCATGGGAGATGAGACACACTGATTACTGCAGCCTGTGGGGAAGTGTGCGGTGCAGTGGATGCCGACCATAACATTAGATTTTATCTGTGATACCCCGAGAAAATGTAACCAAATGGGTTTTGGCTTGGAATTCTTTCTGACAGCTTCGCGGCCATTAAAAATACATGAAATGTCAGTGAGAATTTGCCATCGCATATTGTTTTGCCAAGAGGAAAAATTTGTTAAATCAAGACTTACATTTTAAAATTCTCCCCTGAGAATGGTTTCAGTGCTATGTAAACCTCAGTATGCTTTGGAGAAGCACCACCACCCCCATACACTTACTGCTCTTTTCCTTATCGATATGTTTTCCATTTTATATCTTGACGAGAGAGCTTTAAATGCAAGAGTCAACGTGGTTCTGTTTTCAGTGTAAATCACAAAACTATTGCCACACTATCAGGAAGAAGCGACGATCTTAGAGTGATTGCTTTTTATTTTTATTTTTTGACCAATTGGTGTTGAAATGTGGATCTCCTCCTAATTTGAATTTACAGCGAGAAGCGGGGAGGAGAGAAGGAGATTTGGATTTACAGATACTTATTCCATCATGGTTGGCATTCTATTTTGTTTTACTCGGTTCTTAGAACAATTCTGGAGGGTGTATCTATGTATGCATTTTACAGGCAAGGTTCTGAGCGGTGAGATAATTGTGCCAAGACCACAAAGCTAACAGGTTAGGGCAGAAATGGAATTTTATTTTAGACGGTGCTTTCCCTGTAGTCTGTGGTGAGTGGAAATAGGCACAAAGGCAAAAAAAAAACAAAAAAGACTTGGATTTTGCAGGCTGAAGAGGGGAGCTAATAACATTGATTTTTCTATTTTCATGTCTTAATAAATGCTGGTCAAATTTCCAACCCCACTATTTGTCTATCAGTGTGGTGGATGTGGTGGCTTGTTTGATACTCCAAGGCTGGAAGGTTTGCCACCCATGTATCAAGCACGAACAGGGTCTCCCATGACGGACAGGTTCGAGAGAGCTTCCAGACCAAGGCTGACTATAAAGGAAAGCCTGGCAATCTACTTCTAAAAATTAGCCAATGACACCCCTATGGATTACACAGAATATTGTTCAATAGGGTTGGGAGGTGCTCAAAATACATGGGGGCCTTTGAAAGTTCATGGAAGAAGCCACTATCTTTTAATTCAATTTTCCCCAGAAACTTTGGAAGCGCCCTCAAGTACAGTGGTTACAATGATGGATTCAAACATGTCAATTATTGCAAAGATGGCACATGGCTGAGCCATGAAACCACCTGAAGTTTCAAAATGTCTGCTATTAGCTAAAGGTGGGAGAGAGAATCGGGTGGGAGAACAGAGGAATCCAGATTCTTCACTTTCTGATAACTGCTCAAGGCGGGTGATGGGTGAGAGAAAGGATTACTTCCATAAAGAATCTTCTGTTGTCTATAGAAAACATGTACTCTTTATAAAATATATATAAGAAGGGAGAGAGAAAGGTTAATGGAAAGGTGGCATCAAGGAACTGGTCAGAGGAAGGAAACAGAAATTGAGTTACATGTAATATTTCCTGAGTGTATAAAAACAATATAAGCCAGAAGCTCCCTGACAAAGTTTGTTTTTCAACAAAGTAAAATAAAATGTATTGTAGTAAATAAAAATCTACAGGTTCAAAAAGAAAGCATGTACAGTACTCTTCATTTCCAGTGAACATGTCCCTGGGCAGTGATGACACATGGCATGTAGCTTAACCTCTGCTTCCCAGAGTGGCTATCACCTCACCACCTGGAGTGTCTCCCGGACAGTGGCTGCTTAGAGAGTCTAGTGACCACTGGTCCCATTTCTGCCACTGGATTGAAGATTTTTAGTGAGGGATTGTCAGAAATACCATTCGTATTTTCTATTATTATCAAGAGCTGCTAGAAGGCAGTGAATCTCACAGAAGCAAAAAAGATTCTTTTACATATAGATACGTTTGCCTAATTTAAAAGGTTAGTTTTATTAAGACAATGATAAAAGCTTTTACAGAGCGCATGCCGACTATGGGAAATTACCTCCGTTGCTGCGGGCCATGGCCAAGGCTTGCAAAGAAATCGCTGGAGTGACTTCTAGCTGGCAGACCACGACTTTGGCTCTGCTAATGACATCGGCTGCTCCCTGCAGGTCTTCAATATTCAAAAGTAAATTTGCTCCAGCCACTATGACGATGATATTCTGTCCTATAAAGAAATGATTCAAAGTTATATTAAAAGCCAAGCAAAAAAAAAAAAAAAAGCCAAGCAAAGGTGTTCTTTAGGGCTCTAAACACTCCTATAAAACCACTACACGAAATGTGTTGCAAGGCATAGCTTTAGTACCGGAGTAGTTTTCATGTTCCCAGGCCAGTCCAGGTTACAGTTTGTGCTTCGGATGTAGGTCCATCATCCCTTAAGTAAGACGGCATCGTCTCACTAAAATTCCCATTATTCTGATCACCTTGAGCAGTCTTTAAAAGGCTGCCCTTATCGGTTTTCTTTTTGAAACCTTTTATGATGCGTTAGGTGAAGATCGCTTTTCCATTCAACAACTCCCACACATTTCCTTTCACCAACTTCGTCACACTCTCCTCAACGTGCTCCCACTTAGCCAGCTTCCTCCGTGCTACCCGTTTCCATTTCTCCTTGTTTCCTAACCATTGTGCACTTTGCCCTGGGTTAACTGTGACCCTTTTTATCTCAATCGGCTGGTTGTTCTAAGGTGTGCATTCTTTTATATGGTGAATGTGCCTCTCATAGACCTGTCTGTACCCTGTCCCATGAAATAGGGTCCCTAGGAGTTGGAATCTATTCAATAGCAGTAACTTTGAGTTTGACTGACTGGCTCAAAATTAGGTCACTGTGGGTGGGTTCATTCCAGACCTAAGGAGTGACTAAGGGCCAGAGCTTCTGGGGTTCCACCAGTCTCTATCAGAAAAAGACCCAAATCCTCACAACTGGACCAATAGGTAACATCATGATAAACAGAGAGAAGGATGAAGTTGTCCAAGATGTCATCTTGCTTGGATCCACAATCAGTGCTCATGGAAACAGCTGTCAAGAGATCAAATGATCTCTTTGCACTACTTTGGGTAAATCTGCTGTACAAAACCTCTCTAAAGTGTTGAAAAGCCAGAGTAAAATTAAGGATGTTATTTTGATGATTAAGGTGCACCTGACCCAAGCCATGGTATTTTCAGTCACCTCATATGCATGTGAAAATTGCCCAGTGAAAATGGAAGACCACAAAAGAATTGATGAATTTGAATGACGGTGCTGATGAAGAAAAGAAAAAGAACACACACATTTGTTTTGGAAGAAATACAGCCAGATTGCTCCTAAGAAGCAAGGATGGTGAGACTTCATCTCATGTGCTCTGGACATGTGATGAGGAGAGACCAGACCCAAGAAAAGGGCATCATGCTTGGTAAGATAGAGGGGCGGTGAACAACAGGGAGGCCCCTCGACAAGATGGGTTGGCACAGTGGCTGCAAAGAGGGGCTCAAACATAAGAACAATTGTGAGGATGGGGCAGGGCCAGGCAGTGTTTCCTTCTGTTGCACACAGCGTAGGAACCAAGTGGACAGCCCTAACAGCAACACATGGTCAACTGCTGAAATGAACTTACCAGTTTCTTTTTACTTTCAACAATGTGGCTACTGGAAAATTTTTAATTATACATGTGGTTTGTACTCTATTTGTCCTGGGCAGTGCTGGCCTGGAAGGGTGAATTACAGCAGACATTGTGTTATGGCTGCTAGAGCTGATCATGATTTACACTTATCCATGGATGCAGAACAAATGTTAGCCTATCATTTGATCACAGATGTGTTTGTTGGCCTTGAGGCAGGCTTAATACAGTAGAGATGGGTCAGCATAAGTCCAACCTCACTACCAAGGCAATCCAAAGTCCCCTTTCTCGGAATACAGCATCCCTCTTCCCCTCTCCTACTCTCACTACTGGATTCAACTGCTGCTCCTGGGCTGCGAGCTTCGGGATCTGTATTTTGGGCCTGGCCTTGGCTGGGGAGCAACATGCCAAGGGGACAGCTTTGTGGTGGGCACTGCCATTTGGCTAACTCAATCATGCCTCATTGAACTTTTCAACACTGAATTTTCATGGTTCCATAGAAAGTTACAAAATTACCACAGGACCTAACAATGCCACTCCACATATACCATCAACAGAATTGAAAACTGGAATTCAAAAATAATACTTGTATATTAGGGTTTCTAGCACCATTCACAGGAGCTGAAAGACAGAAATTACCTAAATGTTCATCAACGGATGTGGTTTATCCATACAATGGAATATTATATAGTCATCAAAAGAAATGAAGTATTAATACATGAACCTTGAGAACATAATATTAAGCTAAAGATGATAACTACAAAAGGCCACATATTGTACCAGGACCAAGGAATCTGGTATTCTCCCACTGCTTGGATCCATTCTCTGTAATTCATAGTTACTAAACTTATTTGGCCTATGGTCCCTTTTTCAGAAAAAAAAATAAATTTTTGGGGGGTCGGGGTTGGGATTGTACTGTAGCCAATACTCCAGGATAAAGTGTAGGTATCTGCCTTTGCAGCCCCTCTGGATCAGTCCAGAGCCTCCAAGGGGGCAGTATTGTCCGCACTGGGAAATACTAGTCTACTTTTATATGACAGGTCCAGAGTAGGCAAACCAACAGAAGCAGAAAAATGATTAGTGATTGAGGTCAGAGGTTCAGGGAGGGTGGCTGCTTAATGGGGGGATGAAATAGCCTGGAATTAGATAGTAGTGATGGTTGTACAACATTGTGAATGCACTAAGAGGCACTAACAGTAACATTTATGTATGTTTTATTACCCTTTACAAAAACCCCGAACCCTCCACTCCAAACAACAACAGCAACACTGAACTCATTACCTTCCAATCCACATTCCCTCCTGCACTTAAAGGTCCTAGCTGTTCCATCTCTGTATTTGCCCGATTCTTCTACTGTATCTATAGTCTTGGGCAATGTCATTACCAGACTGTAAAAACTAAGTAAAGTCTACAAAATACATGCTCCTCAATATATAATATTGAATTTACCTCTGTTTCACAGACTAGGAAGAAAGATGTCCCGAAAATACAAAAACAAGTTTAAAGCAGGGAATGACATGAAGTTGGTAGCAGTAATTCCTTAAGATGTAGCTTATAGTAATGAACACACCCTACTTTTAGAAGGAAAACTTTTGTCTACTGTCCCTAAGTGGGACACTGTGTGTGTGTGTGTGTGTGTGTGTGTGTGTGTGTGTGTGTGAGAGAGAGAGAGAGAGAGAGAGAGAGAGAGAGAGACAGAGAGAGAGAGACTGACTTTGGGATCATTACAGTCAAGCTGAAAATATAATCTTTTCTATGAGAAACTATCTGGGGAAAATTGTGGGGTACCAGCCCCTACGATCGAACAGGTCCAAGCAGCGGTTGTGTAATTGAGGGGTAAAATTAAAGAGACATCAGACAAGATAAAGCATGCAAGTGCTCACCTCCGGGACCATCATGCCTTCAGGAGCCAGATCCACACAGGGAGAGAGAATATAGTTCCAACCAAGGCTTGTATATATTCAGGGACATGCAAGCCCCTAATTACAGGTAACCAGATAGGTAACAAAGTAGGCTGTACCCTAACCTTAAGGGTCCCTGAGTACATAGGAGGAGTAACCTAACACCAGTGCCTGGGGCAGGTAAGGGGGGTGGTGGCTGTCTTGAGAGCCTAGAGAGCAATAGCATATGTCTGCTCCTATAGATAAAGCTGCCGGCTATCCATCAGCTTCTAACGATAAAGCTGCTGGCTACATAGCAATCAGCCATGTGCTTGTAAGAGGTAACTTGAAGGTAGCACTATGATGGGAGGATATCGTGGGGAGCAATATTACTTATGAGACTGTGATGGGGACTCACCTCCAACTCACAGGGTGAAGGCCTCCCTCCACCCAAGAAACCAGCCTGCCACGCTCCTTAATATATAAGACTAAAGGATTCATCCGTATGCACTTTCCTCCCATTTTCTGCTCCCCACAGAAAGCGGCATTGTAAACAAGACACGTAGTGACCAACCCTAGGTTTACTCGTGTACACTGCCTGCCCTCAATGTGTGAGGTCCGATTCCAGGTGGCTGATGACATGCTTGGTTTTTCTGAATATTAATTTTGCTTTTAAAAAAATTATGTAGTTGTTGTTTTTTAAGACAGTCGGTGGAAAGGATGAAAGCTTTCCTTGAGGAAAAAAAGGAAGCTAGCTCTTTGGAGGACAAATGTTCAACACTTGCCAGACCTTGGGATCATCCTCGTTGGATGTACTCATAGACTTCTGAGATTTGATTGCTGTTTAAAGAGCAGTGAAAGCTGCATGCTAATGATAAGTTTAAAGTAATCATTTGCTGCCACTTGCTTAGTGAATATTCTATAAATATGATGCATCAAAGTTTCCTTTGCACCTATCTATATACATCTCTTTACCTAGTCTGACTGCAATGACAGATGAGGACTTGACTGCTTCTAGGGACAGGTGTCAATCTCGAATTCACCTGAAGGGTAACAGGGACACTGCAGAACAGAAATGTTATTTTGAGGCAGCATTAATGCTTCGTACATATAGTGGCTGGATAATTTTACATTTGAATGGTCAATTTGGGCATTCATTAAAAGGAAGCAGGATTATATTTAGATTGGAGAAACTGGGCTATAGGCTTTTAAGGGGTTGCAGTAGGTGGTGGGAGTGGTAAAAGAGCCATCGGATTGGGGTAAAAATTGATGCTTTCAGATCTAGCTCTGGAAAAAGACTGCCTGTTTCATGAAATGACACTCCCAATATGCGAAACACATACCTTCATTATTGACAATTATAGAAGCAGTACCTGTAGCAGCATCTTTAGTCTGATATGTAAATTCTAAAAAGAAAAAAAAAGGGAATTACAATCATATGTATATACAGCCTGTCACGGATAAGCTCCTGTAACAATTTCAATGCAGCACTCATCCTTGGGTGAGGTGTGTGTGTGGGAACCTTTTTAAACCTTTCACCATCTGGAATGATAAAGAAAATAAGTAATTAGTGCTAATTTATGCCCATCATCTATACAATGAGGAAAAATAGACATCTTTACATGCAGTCACACCTTTCTCCGCATTAATACCAACTCCATCAAACCACCCCGCTTCCAACTACCCCAACTTATTCATAGCTGGATACATATGCATTTTCTAGAACAATGTATTCTTCCGTGAAATAAACGACAGACTTGAGAAGAGGCAAAGGATCAAAATGGTCAGATAAGCTTGTCTGCTCTTCTTCATTCTCATAAGTTTTGCATTTCATCAGGAATCAAGACCTGACCAAGCGGCCTTTGGCAGCAGCAGCAAGCCCTGACCTGGAGTCAGAGGCCCCATGCTCCCAGCCTCTCTACCTCCAACTAGCTGTGCATTCCGCTGACCCGCTCCAGCTTCTTGTTCCCTCTTCTGTGAAAGGATGGTATTTTTTT